TCCCTATTTGGGCTGATATTTCCTGGTCTTGAATGCTTTTAAAACACATGTTTTTATTCATTAAACATTTGTTATCTAAAAATTGTAAGAATTGTTTAAAGCCGACCGTTTATTCAAGATATTTTTGGAAGGTCCCAAAAATCAATACCACATTTTTGTTTTAACCAAAAACCCTATCTGGCGGGGGGGGGGGAGGGGAGCTTTAGAAGCCACCTCCCCCTCTTGCGCATCTTTTGAAATAATTTTTCGGAAATCGGACCTACCGTTACAAAGTCACGTGACCTTTGTCTTTGCATGTCTTGTGTACAAAACATGAAAATCTCAATTTTCCAAAAAAGAGATAAAACATTGGTTATTTTGGTCTTGTTTATATTTTGGGTGTTTATTTAGGGGTTCAAAATTGTTGATTATAGTTAGAATTAAAATAAAACAACAAAAACAATAAAATACATAAATTAAAAAAACATAGAAATACATAAGAAATTATCAAATCAATAGATAACATTAGGAATAACCTGGCTCTTCCATTTTTTGTTATTGTATAATTATCTCAAATGGTCTGAAGAACTAATGTTTAAATATTAAGAATATATTATTCATGGGTAAAAATGTGAATGTTATTACCTTATTTGCATAGATTACCATGGATATGCAAATGAATTTTTCGGGAGAATAATTGAATTACCATAGTAATCTATACACTTCACTTGACATGCATGCAAATTTCAACGACACGGGGGGGGGGGCTTAGAAGTGCCCCCCGGGCTATACAGTTTCAAAATAGCTCAGCCGGTAGAGTAGTGGTCTCGTAATCCGGTGACTCGGGTTCGAAACCAAGGCGATGCGCTAGTGCCCTTTGGTAAGGCATTAATCCTCATTACCAGGTCTCTCGGAGAGGACCTAAAGCCGTTGGCCGTCTGGATGGTTACTAACAAGCATTTATGCTTTCTTAGCAGCCAGGTAAAATAACCACCACCACAACAACAGGCTAGATAGGGTTAATATAGCGTATGTATCCCTACATGTTTTCAAATGTATTTCGTAAATTGTGAGCAATTGAGCCATTGACTGCCATTCACAAATTATCATATCATCTGTATGTACTGCCATAGAAAAATATCCAGCTTCTTGGCGGACTTTTGTGCAAATTAGTTTTGTATATGTACTTTACATTACTTATTTGCTATGATGAGAGCCATTAAAAAAGTCTGTACACATGTATACATATTATCATAATGAAATGATAACATTTTGTATTAAAAGAGTAGTGAAAAAGTTCACTCAACTCTATAATGAACACCATTTGTTGTTTGTGAAATAAGTTGTAATACCCTGTGTGCATTATTTGGAAGAAAAAGGTATTGGAGAGTGTTGAGAATTGGGTGTTCAGAAGTTTCCATAATGAGCAGGATGATGATGATGATGAAGATGATAAAGATGATTTGATGATGATAATGATGGTGATGATGGTGATGATGATTATGATATTGATGATGATGGTAATAATGATTATGATATTGATGATGATGGTAATAATGATGATTATATTAATAATGATAGTGATGATGGTAATGATGATATTGATGACGATGGTAATAATTATGATTATATTAATAATGATAAAAATTGTAATTACTATAACTATAATAATATAATGATGATGATGAAGTTGACAATGATCATAATCCAGACTTGTAATGGGCACATTACCAGCAGTGTATCTATGCACAGGATTATTTAATTCAATTCAATTTTATTTCTGTTTCCAACAAAACGTTACAAATCAATTATAATCATTTGCAAACAATAAAGAATACATTTTGGAAACGGAGGAGTGCACTAAAAAGCATTGCTTGAACAATTTTAGATCTCTAATATAATAATTAGAAATAATCAGTAATTAAATTAACGAATTCATAACTGCAAACAGGAACTAAAAATAAGAAAAAAGGGGATGCCAAAATCCAAAATCCAAAACGGGCCATGAGAGTACATTACATGACAAAAGATTGGATAACACGCCCACAATACAAAAAGTAGACAATGCCCCAAAAGAAGTAAGAGATCGGAGTAAGAGAAAATTATACAAAAGGATGAGCTGTGCATGTGGGGTTGAGAAGAAGATGAAGAAGGAGATTTGCGCCTTAGACAGGAGACATTAGAGGACACAATATAATATATAAAAATACATTTTGAAAGAAAGACATAATGACGGGGAAAGACTGAATGGGCGATATAATTCAATGAGGTTCATAAGATTGTAATAAACGATTTCAATTTGTTTGTTACAAATATTAATCGATGGAGCATTTTCTATTTCATTACTTAAAGAATTACATATTTTGAGGCCTTTATATGTAAATGTTTTTTGAGCCATTGTCAAATGAATGAATGAACTAATAGAGGAAGAGCAAAATACAAACATGCACTGAAAATATGCGCATTTAATATATCAAGCAGACTTTTCTACAGTATATTTCCATGTAATCTCTATCTTTCTAGTCTCTGTCTGTGTATCTCTCCCTCTCTCTCTCTCTCTCTCTCTCTCCTCTCTCTCTCTCTCTCTCTCTCTCTCTCTCTATATCTCCCTCTCTCTCTCTCTCTATGTTTCCCTCTTCTGTCTCGACCTCGCTCTCCCCCTTCTCTCTCTCTCTCTCTCTCTCTCTCTCTTTCCCTCTCTCTTTCTCAATCCGTCTCCTTATCTCTCTGTCTCTCTATCCTAATGCTGTCCACTTCTCTATTCTCTCTCACTTAGCTTTTCAATTTCCATTCCAACCACGTATACAAATCAACGGCCCAAATGTTCGTTGTCCAAGTCTCTTCTCCGGATAATTTATTATCTTTAAAACTAAATGATCATTCCCTTGCACGAAAAACACAGTAGGCGCATCTTGAAAGTTTTTTTCTAAAATGTATTTAATGTGAAGTTATCGTAACACATGGTTAATACAGTACTCTATACACATCTGTAAAAAGGTGCGCGCAATATATATAAAAGACATATCTACTATAATTAAACTAATTTGTACCTGTGTATTACAAACACAAAGAATATGTCTTTAACTTGAGGTATTTTTAATGAAGTCATAGTATACTGTATAAAGATGGCAAACAGAAAATAAAGCAAATATCCATACAAATCCTGCCAGCCAAAAACCCTTCCTACGAATAGTAACTTCATATTTTTGCAGAGTTATTACAACTTCTTAGACTAACATAAATCAAATGTCTCCTTTATGTAAAAGGGCGTTTTACATTAACCCTCTCCACCTATAACATCATAGATTTGATATGTAAGTACGTATGAAAGTACTCTACATAAGTGCGATAAAACCATCTTCTACTCTGCTCATAAAAACAGAAAAACAAGTTACATTTAAAGCAACGTTCCTCTTCTCTTTTTATCATTCGTAGCCAACACGAAATCTATAAGTTATCAAAAGATGATTCAGTGAAAACAAGGACGTGCAACTGTGGCAATCTTGCTGCAGACGAGAAGTTGTAGCTCCTCATTGGAATATCCCTCTAAAATTTCTCAAAATATATTGTTGACGTGTTGAGTATGCATAATAATATTAAAGTAAACAGTGTGCTCTGTAAATATGGCTACATCAAATCAAAGATCATCTCAATTTGTGAGCCAAGCATTTTCCTTCCTCCCAGGAGTCTTTAAACATTCAACAATGGGAGCAGTATTAAAATTTGATCGATAGCTGATTCCTTCAAAAGTCAGGCTAATACAATTTTAGCCCTATTCATTATTTAACCAAATTGATTATGTGTTTTAAAATTTTCTCTTTTAAAATAATGAAAACCACAAAATGTTAAGGTCCTTTCAACAATTTTCAATCTTAAACTGTTTATTAATCAAAACATTTACTGCATCAATCAAGCGAAACAAAAACGACATAGTTTTCTCCTCTGTTTTATTTAAATTATAGAACTATTATTGTTTTAGGCAATAAGTAGAGCTTTTGTAGAGAAAAGTCTATTATATTCTGCATGTTGATGGTATCGCCCAAAATGTAACAACATTTCATATACCAGCCTTGTTTAGTGTGGACCGTCTTTTAATTTTCTCAAGAAACTATTTAAAACAAATTGTTTTCAATGCATGTATTTACCGTTAAGTTTTCTTGTGAATGAAATTTATATTCATATTTTCTTGACAAACAAAACTACAGCATGCATACAAGATAAGAACAATAGCAAGAATGGCTGTGTCGTCGAGGTATCACACTAAGTATTACAAAATGGCTATTTCGGCTCGGTACCTTGCACAAACGATAGGTCCATTAGTCCATTCAAATACTCAATGCGCACCCTAAACACGAAAGTGTTAAGTCAACATTTAATTAAACCAAGAGATACACCTTTTCAAAATGAAGGAGTTAATTCTTTAAACTGTTGGATGCAGCCGCAGTGATGTTTGTCTGTTGGATCCAGCAGTATAAATGATGAGATGCTACATTTTGAATGGTTGTCACTTCTTGGCCATTACACGGTGATTAGACAATACGACTTTAGTTCGTGGATATCATATAATTAAAGGAAACCAAAAAACCTTCATACCAAGTTACTTTTATTGTAAAGTTTAAGATATTTGAAAAATATCAGTGAAAATTTGAACAAAATCGGGCAAGGAATAAGGAAGTAAGAGCTTTTTGAAATTACTAGTCACTAGAGGGTGGTATTCAATTTGATGACATCATCTGTGGACAACTCTCCATGCCTTTTGTCCATCAAATTTCATGTTTTTCCTTCTTTCTTGTGATTGAGATAATGTACTCCCCTGAAAGCAAGATATAGAATGCAAAATGATATTCTACTTCACATGTTATGAAGTCGGATCAAGAACACAAATAAATACGAAGAAAACAACAAAATTGTGAAATTTTATGTACAAAAGGCATGGAGAGTTGTTCACAGATGATGTCATCGAATTGAATACCGCCCTCTAGTGACTAGTCATTTAAAAAAGCTCTAACTTTCTTATTCCTTGCCCGATTTTGTTCAAATTTTCACTGATTTTATTCAAATCTTTTAAACTTTACAATAAAAGTAACTTAGTATGAAGGTTTTGGTTTCCTTTAACTTGATCACATACTGTGGTATTCGTGTTGGGATGCGATGACCATGCTGACCTTGAGAAGCTCACCGAGACTTGAGATCGTCCTGATGTCATTAGGAGCTGCGACGAAAGCCGGAGAGGCGCCCTCTCCGCCAAAGTCCAACAGGACGTTCACATTAGATCTCGGGATGAAACGAGATTGGCCCAAGAGGCGTGCCGACTGTCGGGGAGCCGCGTTGTCGGATGTGTGTCTGGAGGGGATACCGTGGTGAAAGGGGATGGGGGAGGAGTCCACTGGCCGTGGGAATCGGTGCACAGGGCTGTTGGTTGGTACTCTGGGGATGGTTCTGTAAGGCATGGGTTCGATCAGAAGAAGAGAATCGTTACAGTTGTTATCACAGTGAGATCTGTGAGGGATGCTACCTGTGGCATGTAAACAGGAAAGCCATGAAATTGCCGTTATTACATCTTAAAACCAAGATTAACTAATAATAAAAGCTTGATTTGACTTTTCTAAACAGGCCAACATAACGAAAATATTTTAGTTTTGCATCATCACAAAATGATTATGCCACATCTTTTGTAAATGACGCATATATAGACTTTCAAAAGTTATATTTAGTCTGAGCATCCCTGCGCATGATGCAAAAATAATGTTATTATTAGAGAAATATTTTCTTCTTTATGTTACCCGTTCTCTACATGGTAAATCAAAACCCCTTTTCAAAAACAGTTTGACCTTACGACATCAAATGGTTAAGCATTCCAAGGGATTAAGTGGGACACAATAGAAAAGGGGAGATAAAAGATAGCGAAGATCGGGAGAGAAAGAGAAAATGGAGAACAAGAATGGGAGCGAAAAGGCGAGAAGAGAGAAGGGGAAGATACAGGAACAGACATAAAGAGTGAATAAGAGTTGGAGGAGGAGACAGAGGACGAGAGTGGAGGGACAAGAGTGGATGATGATAGGAGGAGGAGGTAGAGGAGGAGGAGGGGGAGGTAGAGGAGGAGGAGGGGGAGGAGGAGGTGAAGGAGGAGGAGGAGGAAGGAGATGAGGAGAGGAAGAGAATCACTTACGTCTCTCATCATCAGTCCGACCAATGAATTCACTTTGATGATGTACGCTCAGGTCAACAGCTCCTGCCACTTCACTGCTCCGATGACAATCGCTGACGAAATCTTCTGATGGGTAACGATAGAAACCTTTGGTGGTGTCGGCAACATGACAACGGGGGTCAATGACGAGTCGATCGCACTGATCAAAGTGATAGGCTTGATCTTGGAAGAAGAAGTATGGTTGCAAACCCTTGTAGTAATTAAACGGAGGTAGACTGGTGCATGGCAAGTTAGGATGAGCCTGGTATCTGGGGCAGTCTGGCAAGGTTGGCGAGACGGCATAACCGCTAGCACGGCAAGAACTCTAGAAGAAGAAAGGATAATTACATGTAGAAGAAAAAGATAAAATGAAATATATATGCATACGGCATTGTACAGGGAATATTTAAAGAGTAAATGTTATTATTATCATTAACAGGTATTAAAACACAAACATTACGCCGGAGTAAATGTGAGGGTAAATATGGTATAATCTATCATCGATTTGCTCGATTAGCTTCATTATAATTGTATATTCGAGGTTAATGTGCTTTTTTCGGTGTGTTGTCGATCAAGTTTAAGTTCAAGTTTATTTATTTACACTTGTCAAAAATACAGAATAGTCACAATTACAAATACAGAATAAATATACAAAAATATCATACATCCAAACAAAAAACATAACATAATGAGAGTGAAGGGGTGAGCTAAAAAGGAGTCAAGTCCTTATGCAGGAGTCCATCCTTCATGTATAATATTAATAATATACGAAATTAAATGTGGTACCATTGGAAGCATGAAAATAAAAAAGAAGGGGCGGGGGGGGGGTAATAGGTCTTGGAGAGTTATTTCACGTAAAATTCAATTAAATACATTTTATATTTTCGTTTAAAAGTTTGAAGATTTTTACAATTTTTTATATTCATGGGAATTGAGTTCCAAATGTTGGTGTCTGGTGTCGGTCTCTTTGGTGTGACCATAGACCTACCACCAAGGTCTATGGTGTGACTGACGTATTACAAATCTGGGACCTCTTATCTCAGTTCATTTACCTGGCGTGAAAGGTCAACGGCGTACTGCATGGGCGATGATGGTGCCGGTGATGAAGGCAACGACGGTGGCAATGATTTCGACAATGATATCGGGACGACAGTACCAGAATGCTGGTGAGCTTCAATATGACCTCCGACGTTGTATACGGACGCGTCGAAGTTGTCGTCCGTTTGGAACAGGTCTTGTTTGTCGACGATATCGTCTAGCACTGCGTAAAAAAACAAAACGAAATTTGCTATAAAGTACAACGATTAACCCAGAATATATACTTTTTTAATAGTCGGTATTTAATCATTAGTGGATGTGACAACGTTATTTTTTAAATCACGATTTAGCGGCTCATCAAGGGCATGGGTGGCACAGGGGGAACGTGCCCCCCTAAAAAATATATTGTGGAGAAATTAAGGTGGAGAAGAAGAGGGATACTCCTTTTTGTTTGTCACAGGTTTTTGGAATTGTGCCTTTCCCGTGAGTCCTTGAGTGAGTTTATACATGCAAACAATTATTTCACATATAATATGGTTCCATTGTAAAGTATACCGGTAGATACTAGTCATCTTATTTCATTTATCTAAATATGTATTAAAGTTCTAAAATGAAATACCAGTACATTATGCCCGATTAACAAATATACTTTTTAAAAACTGGAGCACAAAGATAAGTTAACAGATTAACGCTTTTGAAACTTGGCAGAACTTATACTGATTTTTTTTTTTTGCAGACTTTTTCCTTTAACAAAAAAATATAATCTTAGTGACAGGACAGTTGAACCATATATTATTCAAATTTAATTTACCTGGATCGTCTTTTAGAGCCAATTCCTGGATTCGTGATTCTTCCTTGACAGATGGTTTGTAGTGAGATAGCGTCTGCAACCCAGTCTCGACGCTCTCACTCCTCGTCGAAAGGCAGTCCGGCGGCGAAGACAACGACGACGAATAACGGATCGGTGACGGTGGTTCGTCGTCGACTTCGAGTAGCACGCAGTATTCGCAGTCACCGGTCATGTCGTCACCACATTCTTGGCAAGCAGGTTGATGGTGAGTGAGGTAGGTTGTTGGGTAAGTCCAGTCGGACCCCTGATGGGCTGGTGATCGAGGGCCATGGGTGAACTGGTCTGGTGAGCTTAGCTGGGTATACTCCATCGGGTGCATCGGGGGAGTTCTCGCTGGGAAAGGTTGACACGGGAGCTGAGCGTCTTTCCAAGAACCCTGATTGTAAGAGAGTAAATCATAACAAATTAATACAATTTTTATTAGAACATCGTTTCTCAATAAAAAGGTTTGTTTGCAACTTCGTGTCAATAATTATTCCTATATACCGTCCAACATAAGTTGCCGAAATTTCTGAAATATTTTCAGCTTTTGCTCTGCACTATTTTACATTTGTAATGAATTCCACCATGACCTTTGACTTCATACAAAACAAACAAGTCACAGCCTATTTTGATTCACGGATATCCATCAATGTTTTGACGGAGGTTAATTGTTACAAATCTTTGATTTTATACAACAGACTTAAGTATATGCACGGTAAGCAATGATTAATTCAGTCTATAGAATATAACGGTAAAATAACCATGAACGAGCAAGTAACAAAAGCTACACTATATTGAGAATACTTTTGTGACTCGAAAAACTCAAAAGAAAACACAATTGGGAGGAGTGTTGATACACTCGTACGTTGCCGACGAAGTTGGAATCATTTTCCGTACCTATTTTCAGGAAATGATCGCGACAGTATATTCTTGATAAATACGAATTACATCTTCTCATAACTTTATTTATCAATCTAGTATAATAGTCATAGAGATTAATGACAAGGTACTTGATATAAAGAATACACTATGTTGTCACAGAATCATGCCATGAAAATAGATAAAATTAAAATTATTCTGACTTCATAGCATGAGCAACACAGTAAATGTCAATAATGAATGTCATAACTTTAAGGCCATTAAAAAAAAACATGTTTAGCGTCCTGCCTTTTTGAAAAATAGGACGGAGGAGGCCCCTTTTTTCCCAAAATGGCTGCTCGGTACATTTTCCCTGACAGTCGGGCTATTTTTCAAGAAGGCCGCCAGCATTTTTTTTTAAACTCAGAAATTGATTATTTTAGCAGTATATTTTTATGTTTTATTCACTGAAGAAAAAAAAATAGGAGGCGGCCCCAAAAAAGGAAGCGGGTGGGGACGCTAAACATGATTTTTTTTTTTGTTAATGGCCTAACAATAAACAGCACGTAAGAACATGATTAACTCACCTTCTTCTCCGTCATCTTGGAGTCCAATCCGTCAGCGTTCCTCGTCGTCGTCGACGAACCATTCTTCTTCGATCCTCGTCGTTTCTTCCTGATCACGTTCTTCGCCATCATCCTCCTGGTCCTCCATTGTCGTGCCTCTTGCAGAAGACCGTTGCCATCGCGACAGTGAGAACAGCTTGGGTTGATCATCCAGTAGTGTGTGCGACATTTATGACGCTTGTCCACGATGGGTACCTTTAAGAATAGGGATGGAGTGGAGAGATGTGGAGGGGGAGGCAGGGAGCGAAAGAGAGAGAGGGAGGGATGGAGAGTGAGTGAGAGGGGTGCGGGGAGAGGAGAGGGAGAGAGGGGAGCAAGAGAGAAGGGGGGGGGGAGAAACATTGTACAATCAAAATTGTTATTGAACTTCAATCTATTTGTATCTACAATCAATTAACAACGATCACGTGAGACCTCAATTAGTAGAATTAAAAATCCATTACAATCTTAAGTTGATAGACCATGGATAGACTAAGCTGGTTTTCTATTCAAAATGATATTATAATTAGGGAATGGCAAATTCAGCATATAAAAAGGTTGGAAACCCAAATGAAAATAGTACCACAGCGATCGAGTTAATTCCTTTATATATATTTTTTTTAAATAAGCCCGGAACATTTTACTGGAAAAAAAAATGATTGCATAAAGGAATGAATATTTCTTTGAAAACATTTGATTCAATTCCGTTCATAAAAATGAAGAATTTCGAAGTAGATTTAAAAGAAAAACGGTTTAAAGTGAGATATACACATTCCGTACTATCAAATTGAAACATTGTATTGTGGGGTAGTGTTAAATATGTTATTTTCTAAATTTTAATTTTCTTCCAAAATAAAATCGTGTGTGTAACATAATTAATTTACACTGCACAAGTGCCTTCTCAAATAAAAAAAAAATGTTTCAAGTCATTAAAAAGAATTAGAACTAATTTTCAAATAACAGTGCCTAACACAAAGACCATGACAAAATAAAATGTCTGGTAACTGTGATGTTTAACCTAAAACTAAGTAAATAATATCTTAACAATATGTTATTCACATGTTGTACCTTCAAGATGAATATATATATATATATATATATCTTTTTTTTTGGGGGGGGGGGATATATAGTAATTAATGGTTTAAAAAAAATACCTTGTAAAAACACTCTCGAGCAGAGAGGTTATGTCGAATACTGTTATGCCAGCCTTTGTAGGATGTTCGGAAGCAAGGAAAGCGATCACGAAAGAACTGTTGGATGTCTACGATGGTCATCATACGAGAAGGCGACGACTGAATCGCCATGGTGATCAGCTCAGCGTAGGTAAAACCCGGGAGATCGACCCGCGATGGTTTCTTTCCATTCCGTGGTGGAGCGATGTCGGGGGATGAGTGTCGCGACTCGGCCGTAACGTCGGTGGCTCTGATCGCATCGGTCTGCGCTTCCATGGCTCCAAGTGCAGAACACTATTCATGAAAAGTGAAAAAAAGACAAGTAGATTTTTGGTCATAAATTTACCTCCCACATCTCCGGAAAACAACGGGTTCATTTTTTCCTTCTTTATTTCATCTTTGATTCATGAATAACAATCATAAAAAGGTATCGATTGTATAGACATTCATAAAACCAACACTAATATAATCATTTTGGGGCAAACGAATTCCACGCAAAAATATTTACAAAGAATATACATATATTATGTACGACACTCAAAGCTCACGTATAACAGAACAAAAATATACCTGATCATGCTCTGGGCCTAGCCGTATATCTTTCTGGCCAGAATGGTTCATAATCAAGAAGACAAAAGAATATTCCGAAGTAGGCCTATATACTATAGATGTTCCCTGAGTAATTTACATGCCTAATTGAACATATTAAAGAAATTGATGAGATATGTTTGTATATTGTATATTACTGGTTTTACTGGATGTTAAGCTGAACTGATATTGGAATATTGGCATCTGTAATTTAAAAACCCTTCACACGAATTCCCCTCTCATCGATAAGAAAACAAACGCAAGTCACCATTCAACCAACAAGACTAACATTCGCTCCAAACACTTAAATCACCACGAGTACTACAGAAATGGAGTCAAATCATTATTACGACAGATAATATTACAATTTAACGTGAGATACTCACCTACAAATGGTATGGAAAATGAGGAGTAAGGCAATCGATGAGGCGAGATTTGTGAAGCTGGGTATGTAGGCAGAGTCAGTGCAGCAATGTTTCCAGTTCAGAGGTCTTGAGCAAGATAAGCTTCTTCATCGGACTTCTATCTTACTTTATACCTGATCTGTTCTCACCGTTCTTACCAACTCTAAGCCAATTACAGGAGAGCGAGGTGTTACGTAATCGAGATGCGAAAGAAAGGATCAGGGCGACGCATGCGCGAACAATCTTTTTCTATATGGTAGTCTTTGAAATCAGACCAAGTTGATCTTTTTCAATCATACCGTCGATCAACAAAATATCACTCTCATATAAAAATGATACTCAAAATTCACAAACATGACAATTGTCCAAACGCATATTGTACAATCATAGAAGTTTCAAATAATGTCTAGAGAGTTTCTATATAGAGACAGAAACTCTCTGAGATAGAGGAGAGAGAGAGAGGGGGGGGGGGGCGGGGAGGGGGCATGGAGAGAAAGACAGAGAAGAAGAAATCAGATTGTGCATGATTGCATATATAGTGTTTTGTTCGAATGGCTTAAAAGACATCATACCCAATGCATGGCGTATGCCAACGATCTATAGCAAATCAAGACCCATTTTATCATCTGTCTAATTTATTGACTCTAATCTATTATGGATTGTTTTCAAAACGGTCTGATGATGAAATGATAAGACTAGCCAAGTCAGACCCATTCCTTTTCCCACGCCTGGTGATACCCTTCTAATTGGATTTATTAATCCGCCTCGTACACTACACCATTGACAATGAGGGCTCTTTGTTTAAGCTTCCGGATTAAGCAGAGAGGTGTCTCTAGCCTGCGAAATGTCAAAGACGAAAAACCAGTTTTGTTTTAGAAACAGATTAATAAAATATACCTTCACTTTCTACCGTATTTATTTTCATTTTACCTAAAGTATAGGAAGTCGTCTCTGATGATAAAGAAAAAGAAGAAGAAATAACTATATTTTATGTTAAAATCGGTAAGAAGTAACGTTTAAACCGGGCGTTAAACGAAGATCCGTTACGATGTTAATTCCTTTATGCTTGTATGCTCTGTATGATCACGGGATATTTACATATACTTTCCATGTATAGCGTAATTACCTTATTGAGGTTTTGAGAAATACGAATTTAATATCGGGAGTTGTTTTTCCTGTTGTTTTGACAGGATGAGAGTACGTCATAATTGTATCTTTATTTTTTAGAATCCATGTAAAATACAAACGAAAATACAATTACAAACGAATTTCCTTTAAAAAACCGATAATGTCAAAATGAAAAGTGGACCCATGAATGTTATCATCACTATCTTTTCATTCATTCTTTTCCTCTTCTTTGTCTTATTTTGTTTAAAGGTTTTGTTTCTTCCTTTCAATTTTTATTCTCTTATGTTTTTCATAATATCTACCTTTTTTTCTAAAGGTAATACTCTTGATCCAAATTGTTTAAAGGTCCTCTTATTACTTCTAAGACAGTGAACTTTAGATTAAAAAAAAAACGATTTCCGACTAACCTACCTTGACCTGATAACTAAAAACCAGTTTAATCAAAATCAAGTACGGTGAATGACCCTCTTAATTTACTTTTATCCTTAGAATGTTATTATAATTGAGAGTATCAATCATTACAACGAGACGGCATCGGGGCTACATTTCTTTAGGTAATGGTTGTCCGAATATTACTGCAGTTTACATTAATTTTAGTAGAACCTTGCACAATCCGCTGTTATCACGCAGTGGTCGTTCCATCTACAAGTATTGTTAAAGGACATTTGTATCACACTAAGGGGGCCGATAACTCACAAACATAGCTTTCACTATAGCTCCTTCCATGTTTCTCTTTATTTCTTTTACTTTATGCGAACGAATTTAAATGAGTTATACGTATCTTCTGTTCTTGTACTAGACAATAAGACCTGTGTATGTTAGTACCTATTGTTTTGTGGAAACAGAATTGTAGAATGTGAAATTGTTGAAATATGAAACAATAAACTGAAATGAAAACTGAATATTTCGAGTATAAATTTCTGGGATGGGGAGGGGTAGCCCTAGGACTAGAAGGTCCACCTTTATAATACGCGATAGTTGTGCATTTTCACCGAAGAATCCATGTTTATTTACAGGGGAGAACAGGTAGGTGTCATTTTGCCCGAAGCAATGAGTCTACATGTTATTTTTGAAGAATTTCTTGGAAAGACTGGGACCAGGGTCTTTTAAACATATACTTTCACCTTTCCTAATGTTAATGAAGCCACTCTTTAACAAGCAAACAACGTTCTATGTAAATTCTATTTGCTGCTGAGAGAATCTACTCCTGTAAACTTGCCTGCAGTTTTCTCATTTCTTTTGTCTTGAATCACATAATCATAAGAAAATATCGTAGACGCCGGTCGCTTTTCAAAAACGAATGGAAAGCCAAATTCCTCCGTTTGAAATAAATCTGAAATAAAGGCAGACCACACAGCAAAAGCTTGGGTAAATATAAATACGAGCGATTTAGCTGGTCGACTTGGGCGGTTAACTTTTGTTCATTCTGTATTTGGTGCTCCCGTATTGAATAGTCATTGTGATTTGAGCTTACAAGGATATGAATGATTTTCAACACCTACTCCATGCTGCAATTATAGCTCAGCTTCCCAATTTGCAGTAGACTATCATTTGAACTACTCTTTGTTCCGGCCTCCTTTTCCATTAAGTTCGATTTCGAATTTGCTTCATAATTATGCCTACAGTTTTGCCATTTTTAATTTCTAAGTATCGCTTTTAAACTCAACATGTTTGATTATCGCGGGTGGTATTTCAACCCCGCCCCGCCACCACTCGCAAAATAGCCTGAATAAAAAGTGAAGGCAACAACTTATTATGGCAGCCAGGGAGTATCTTCCATTTCCATGATCTCTTTAGACATTGAATCTCACTATTATAAATCTATTTCACTTGGTGATGTTTTGTGATAAACACAATTTGCATAATTGTGGTTCAACTACATTTTATTTTGTTCACAGTGAAATCCCCATCAGTTTCACTAAACCCCAACAATTCTTCTTGATTTTTTAATGAAATACTACCTCGTATTCTTTCAAAAATTGATATATAGCATTATTCTAGGAAATGCAGCACATGGAAAGCACAAAGAAATATTACACAAAGACAAAGAAAGAAAATAATGAAAGGGCACTTATTCGCATGCTACGACTGAAAAGAAAGACAAACAGGTTTATATCAAGACGTTTCAAGCTCATTTCTTGATCTCAAACAGTTTTATTCCATCGTAGTAAAACGGAAATGATTTGCTACGTTTCCCACGAAAGCTGTCAACTTGTCATTGTCGTTCGACCAATCGTCAACATCGAAACAATGGTCAAGGGTACGGATTAAAGAATGATTTGTTTGGTCGGTTCTTGAACTTGACTGATGGACACGTTTGCACAAGAGAGAGTTTGTTTGCAAGTCTTTAAGGTTACAAGCAATAAAACATCCTTACTGTAATCCTGATTAGCACTTCAAGATAATGGACTGAAGTGACACATTCATGAGAAAGCTAGAACCATATTCAATATTTTTCATTTTGACATGGCTCGGTGCACCGGCGCGGCGTAGCATAGGTCTAACCATAGACGGGGCACTGCAGTGTCATGGAGCGGGGGAGGGGCACCAGTTCGATATGGTGGATTAAAAAGTGAGAAAAGGGCCATTTAGGGTGGGGTCGTACCATTTATTTTTCAAGTTTCCTTCCCCTCCCACTTTCTCTCTCTCTCTCTCTCTCTCTCTCTCTCTTTGCCTTTCTTCCTCTCTTCAGCTTCCCCCGTCCTCGCACTAGCTATATACCTCGTTGGCAGATTAAAGTTGAGAGGTTCTAGATTCGTGATAAGTCAATGTCCTGTGATATCGAATTCATTTCAAGTTACATTTCCACGGATATGACTTGAAGCTAGCTGTGGGTCATTTGGATGTCTATCAGCCCCTATCAGCACTGTATTTTGCTTCAAATGCAGGGAGAGTGACCGGCGGATCACGCATTCATTGGGGGTGAAACCGACATAGTACGCCTCTGCATGAGAGGCCCGAATGATGTAATGTTGGCATTTTCGTTTTGATTTGATACGCACAACCAACCGACCCGTATATTCTTATTATCAATTATTTAATTAATTAACGATCACATTTTTTGTTTGAAAGTGGAGCTTAATTGGTATGATCGTATTGGCTAAATTTCACACATTTTGGGGTCTAAAATTACCTTCGTAGCAATTTTAGGTCATAAAAGAGGACTAGAAATGTCATAAATAAGAATAAGAGCAATAACCATGCACTTTAAAATCATTAGCGGTCTGAAACAAGAACTCAACTGTCCCCTTTAATGTCACACGCAGTATACAGTAATGCTCAACATCTCCCTGTCCAAATCTAAAGGAAAGTCGAAACTCCTGATAGCTTTGACCTTTATAATTATCTACTTATAGTGTTTTGAAGTATTAAAATGATGAAAAAAAAATCCCTTTATAAATGTTTTTATACTTTCATTGAAGAACAAAATAGCTATCGATTAGCCTAACCTATTATACGACCTGAAAAAAGTAGCAAACAAGAAAGCATAGAAAATTAAGGAGTTTCTTTTTTAACATGCTTTTTGAGACAAGGAAGAATCCTTTAAATTATATGTTTTGTACTTGCTGCATGTATCAGATATGGGTGAAATTTTTTGATCGATGCAAGTGTCAGTAGCCGTCAAAAATGAGAATTAACAAAACACAAACAACAGTTTGTAAATAAATTACGGGATGGCCTGGTAAAGATGTGATCGGATTTTGTTGTTATCCTTATTGTTATAGTGTCTGGTTTGGACAAGTAGACATAAGCTAAAGAAGGGTGGGGATGGAGCTGCAAAAACAAGAAAGAGAGAGAGAGAGAGAGAGAGAGAGAGATAAAGAGAGAGAGAGAGAGAGAGAGAGAGAGAGATAGATAGATAAAGTGAGAGAGAGAGAGAGAGAGAGAGAGAGAGAGAGAGATAAAAATAAAGAGAGGGGAGGGGGAGGGAGGGGGGAGGGAGGGGGGAGGGAGGGGGGAGGGAGGGGGGGGGGGAGATTACCTATATC